CATATACATATGCACATACCTATTCGTATACATATGCGCATACACATACACATACGCATACACAAACACCTACACATACACATACATATACATATACATATACATATGCATGTACATGTCCATATACATATACATATACATATAAATATACGTTTATATATACGCATACATATACATATACACATAAATAAACATACACCTAGACATATACATATATACATACATCTATATACACATACCTATACATATACACATACATATACATATATGTATATATGCATACAGACGTGCATATACATATACATATACATACACATAGATACATGCATATATACATACAGACAGACAGACAGACAGTCAGACGGACATATATATATACATACATACATACATGCATGCATGCATGCATGCATGCATGCACACATATATACATACATACATACATACATACATACATACATACATACATGCATACATACATACACGCATACATGCATACATACCTACATATATACATACATACATACATGCATACATACATACATACATACATACATGCATACGCACATACATACATACATACATACATGCATGCATGCATACATACATACATACATACATACATACATACATACATACATGTATACATATATACATACATGCATACACGCATGCATACATGCACACATACATACATGCATATCTACATACATACATACATACATACGTACATACATACATGCATACATACATACATGTATATGTTACATATATATATATATATGCATACATACATGCATGCATGCATACATACATACATATAAACATACACATATACATATATATTTATAGAGAGAGAGAGAGAAAGACAAGCCCCCCCAGGGCTCCGTCCCCCACCTCGGGAACAAATGGGGCAATTGTCCGGCACCGCCCTGCCGGGCCTCCCAGCCGCCGCGCCCACTTCGGCTCCCTCACACGCGTCGTGGCCCCATGGAGAGCTCCACCGACGGCACCAGCGACTGCTCTCGCACGGCACCACGCGCTCGCATGGCACCACCGCACCCATTTCGGCACACCCCTCACACGTTCCGTGGCCCATGGCGAGCTCCACCAAGGGCCTCAGTGGCTGCGCTCGCATGGGACAACCAGGCCCATTTCGGCACACCTCTCACACGGAGCTCCACCGAGGGCCCCAGTGGCTGCGCTCGCATGGCACCACCGCAAACGCACACCTCACCACCGAGAGCCTCAGTGGCTGCGCTCGCACAGCACCACCGCACCTATTCTGGCACACCTCTCACACGTTTCGTGGCCCCATGGGGAGCTACACCCAAGGCCCCAGTGGCTGCGCTCGCATGGCACCACCACGCCCACTTCGGCACACCTCACAAATTTCATGGTCGCATAGGGAACTCCACCGGGGTCCCCAGTTGCTGCGCTCGCATGGCGATACCGCGCGATGGGAAGCTCCACCGAGGGCCCCAGTGGCTACGTTCACACGGCACCTCCCCACCCATCTCGGCACACCCATCACACGTTTCGTGGCACCAAAGGGAGCTCCACCAAAAGCGGTACGCATACAAAGCTCTACGAGTGTGTATATAAATATATATATATATATATATATATATATATATGCACATATGCACATGCATAGAGATATTCCCCCCCGATGTACCACCAGACGTGTCCGTTGGCTGAGCCAGGCGTTTCGCTTGAGACTCCCTTTCAACGTACGATCCTGAAGCTAAAACTCCAACATGGAAGGCTGATAGGTTTCAACATCTGGCTCTCGCCTTAGCGTCGCGCACGTTCGTTGTAAAAGCTCGCACCAGTAATACGGATAGAGGGTCGGTGATGTTCAACATGTGCTTACCGCCTACAACTACGAGGAGAGAGGTCGGTTCGTTCTCAAATGGTGGCTCTCTTTCTAGATTGTCTAAAATTCTATTTGGCGGCGCGCACAAGGGAGTAGGGGGAGGGGGGAAGGCTTCTTAGAAGGAGGCCGCTTCTTAGAATCGATCTCTAAACTCGCGTAACACTCAAACGTCTGGAGGGCTGACCCTCCTCAAAACGGGGCCAACGCCGAACACCTTCCTCGGCTTCATCGCCCCACCTCTTTGCGCGCTTCTCCGGGCCAGGAGGATGGAGGGTGGACCCCCGACAATCAAGGGGCCCCAGGACACACAAATAAATACACACAAATAAAAATATTCCCCACACTTTCTCATATTGTATGAGTTTTTGTCTTCCCCCCCACTTCCCATATTTTCCCATATCTTCCTGGGGATCCACGATTCATTGTGTCTGTGTGTGTTTTTTCCCCTCCTGAGACAAGAAGGGATCTCGCCCGAGTGGCAGGCCCGCCCAGAACTCGCCGCTCGGGGGGGGGCGACCATCCAGCAGAGGGAGCGGACACCAGCAGCGACTCGCGCGGGGACCTGGGACGGGAGGGCGCACAGCCGGGGCGTTGACCTAAGGAACCCTAAATAAGGAGCGGGACCCTAAATAAGGAGCGGGGCCCCTTCCTCCCATAAGTGAAGCTTCGGTTTCCCACCGGAAACATGAGGAAAACCTGAGGCAAGCTGCGAAACGATCAAGGGACACCGAGCCCCTCCCCAACGAAAAGGGTTCCTTCTTCAGCGCCCCGACTGTACCGCAGCATCGCTGCTGCATCCTGTCGGCGGCGAGCGCGGGGGGAAGTGAGAGAGAGAACGCCTTCTGAGAGGGCGGCGGGACCTCTCGGAGGCCCTCGCGCCTTCTGAGAGGTCCTTTGCGTGTTTGGGGAAGGCTTCGAAAACTCCTCAGAAGGCTGGGGGACTTCCGAGCCTTCTGAGAAGGCCTTCCCCTTCCCACTTCCCCCCCTCGCTCGTCGCCGATCTGGGCTTACTCGGTCCTGCTCTTCCTTGAACCTCATCTCTGTGCCTTCTGCCGTTGCTCTCCTGTGCGCCGGATCGCACCCTTCACACCTGGCGGGCATGATCGGGCCGCCCCCGCTTGACCCGGCCTGCGCAGGAGCGCGCGGCGCCCTGAAAACCGTCGGGTGGCTGTCGCCCAGATGTCGGGGATCCCGCCCCCGCGTCGGTTGGGTCTCCGCGTGCACGTCGCCCAGACCCAGGCACGCTGGTTGGGCCTCCGACGGGCGCATCACGGCGCAGAGCGGGTCCTGGGGGTCGAAAGCTCTTTGGCCCGCACCGTTAAAAATTCGCACCATCAGAAGTGCGGGGGGAAAGAAAAACAAGCTGGAAGCAGCCTCAAGCCTCAAGCAGCAACAACTGCGAAAAATCTGGACCAACGCCAGTGGTTCGACTGCCTAAGTCCTCCCTCTTACTTCCTCCTAGTCCTCGGAGAGCAAGGTGCGGGCTAACGGCGGTATAGGTCCACGGCGCGGTAGGGAAGTTGGTTTTGTGACACCGAGCGCGCGCAGAAACAAATGTAGGAAATTACGGACCACGCGATCCTGCACTTCAGATATGCGAATGCATCGAACGAAAACGATACGACGAATGGCAGGAGAGCGCGAACCATGCTTTCCTACATTTGGCTTGGTCACGGACCAGTCCCACCTACACTGCTGAAACCTACCACGCCGTCACGTGTAACACCGTTAGCCCGTCTAGGGGGGAACCACAAGGCACTGATACCGCTACTCCCCAGGCCTCTCCCGGGGTGCGTTGTGACCAGAATTTCGAGGCGAATCCGGCGATGGCGACGAGTGCCGCCTGGGAGGCCCAAAAAGGCAGCAGCAACAACAACAACAACAACAACAACAACAACAACAACAACAACAGCAGCAGCAGCAGCAGCAGCAGCAGCAGCAGCAGCAGCAGCAGCAGCAGCAACAACAACAACAACAACAACAACAACAACAACAACAACAACAACAACAACAACAACAACAACAACAACAACAACAACAACAACAACAACAACAACAAAACGAGGGAAGGGTGGCAATATGGGTATATGTTCCTCCTTAGAGTCTACCGTGTCACAAGGAATAGCGGCAGCCAACAGACGACGATGGCAGACGAGGCTCACGATTCGTGTAGGGGATCGACTTCAGAATTGACTTACCCCGACAATGTTTTTGCGTCGAAACCATGAAAAAGACGTAGAACGTTCGTAGATCTGCGAACCTTCTGCGTATCATCCGTAGACTCGATCAATTCTGGGGCCGATCAATTCTGTAGTCGATCCCCCACCCGAACGATGCACGATAACAGAAGGCCGCGCCAGGAGAGCCGCGGCGCGCACAGGCAGCACGCCCGCGGTCTGGAGCAAACGCTCCTGACGGCACGAGCGGTCAGTTCGGCAGCGCGCTGCCCTCGCGTGGAGGGCTTCCCATCGACGGGTGCCGACGGTGGCCACGCGAACCAAACATGGCCCCTAGAGAAGCCGCAAAATCAGGACGCACACACACGTCCTTTCGACCCTCTAGTGTGCTTCGAGCGGCTGGTGGTCGCGAGCGTGAAAGCACGCGGTGCCATAATCCGCCACCGTGCCCTGTGCACGCTGGGGCGTGTGAGAATGCACCTCTCCTGTCTGGTAAAATTTCTGTTACTGCTGTCTATGGCCGATCTCATCAACCCGCTGCGCCGCCCTTAGAAAATCGCTCCCCTCTCCAGAGCCGACTTGGGGCAACTCAAATAAGCTACTGGTTGGAGAAGCCTGTTCCCAGAGAGGCACTGGAAAACATGCAGAACTGCCGAAAACGGCCCAAAAAACAGCAACAGCAACAGAACCAAAGACGCCTGGAGGGCTCAAGATGACTCAAGAGGGCGCAAGACGGCTCAAGGGGCCCCCCAAGATGGTCCCAAAACAGCCCCAAGAGACCCCCAAGACAGCTCGGGAGCGGACGAAACGCTTGTCTGGCAGTGCTCCCCGCGAAGCATTGTGTATCTCGCAAGATGCAAACAATAACTCTACCACGTGCAACGGCGTTGCCAGAAGACGGCTGCACTGTGTGCCACAGTCTCTGGTCTCATGGCGCAGGGCGCTCAGCCCAGCAAGAGCTGACCGCTCTTGCAGAAGCCCTGCCCGCGAGCCGCGGACGCCATGCACTGCGAGGATCCTGTCAGGAACGTCATCACGCCCTCCGAGGAGACTTGCCCGCTCACGGCAAAGGGCGCCATCTGCGCATGGACCCCGTCGTGAGCGGCACACGCCAGGCACTCGGACTGCAGGGCGTCCTCCACAGGGGTGTCCACGCACCGGATGCTCGTGGCCTCCTGGGACGACCGGCGCCAGGACTTGAACAGCGCGATCACCTCGCGCTCTCCGCGCATGACCCACTCCTCCATGACGGGCCTGGTGGGCAGCCGGGCCTCCACGTAGCAGGTTGCCCACGTCGGGTTCAGCAGGGTCTCTGGGAACAGCTCGGCGAGGGCGCCTCCCGACCAGAGCCGCGGCCCTGGGTCGGACGAGGCGGAGGAAGCGGCCGCCTCCGCGCCGCGGAGCGCATCCGCGAGCATCCTGGCGTCCGCGTCGCGCTCCGCGTCGGTGCGGTCTCCTATAGCCCGAGCGGGTGCCGCCACTGCGGTCACGGAGGGGCCGAAGGCAGAGCCCGCACCGCCACGGGAGGCAGACGCTATTGCGCCGCTCAGCGCATCCTCGAGCGCCCAAGCGTCGGCGTCGCGCTCCGAGTAAGAGTGGTCCACTACAGCACGGGAGGCGGAGGAAGCCAACGCGCCGCGGAGCGCATCCTCGAGCACCCAAGCGTCCGCGTCGCGCTCCGAGCCAGCGTGGTCCAGCGCAGCCTCAGAGGCGGAGAAAGCCATGGCGCCGCGGAGAGCATTCTCGAGTACCCTGGCGTCCGCATCGCGCTCCGCGTGGGTGCAGTCTGCTACTACGACCCGCTTGGGTGCCGCCAGTGTGGCCGTGGAGGGGGCGAAGGCAGAGCCCGCACCGCCAGGGGAGGCAAGTCGGCAGGCACCCACAGCCAAGGTCAAGGCGAGAGCCTTGCTGATCAGTCTGCGTTGCGCAGGCATGCTCAGGGCAAGTGGGTCCAAAAAGGCTGACAGACCCAATCCTCCGAGGTCCTGCTTGGAGCCAAAATGGCTGCGGGCATGATTATTTGCACTCGCTTGGCTTAGCTGGGCCTGTTGGGGCATCCTGGGAGCCTGCTGGGGCGAAAGACTCAGCAGGCTCCCCCGCTTGAGCCCATCTTGGGACCGACTTGAGGGCATCTGAAGCCGTCTTGCGCGCGCCTGGGGCCGTCATGGAGCCAAGTTAGGCCGTCCCGGGGTCCTCCTGGGGGCCTCTCGGCCCGTCCTGGATTGTCGGAAACTCGAAAAGTGGAGGCCTCTTGGGCCGTCGTGGATTGTCGGAAACTCGAAAAGTGGAGGACCTCAGAAACATCAAAAGACCATGGGAAATCAATACTTTTCGAGGCACTCGTGTGGGGCCCCGGGCGCCCACTGAAGGCTGCCCGGGGCCGTCCTGGCGCCTTCTTGGGGCCTCCTGGGAGCCTCCTGAAGCGAAAGGCTCGAAATTTCGATCGAATCTCTGGGTAAAGCTGGAAAAGCAGGAAAAGCAGGATAACACAGCGTTTTTCAATGAGGTAGTCTCTGGGAAAAGCTGGAAAAGCTGGGAAAGACGGAAAACACACCGTTTTTCAATGGTTTCGTTGTGGCGAAAGTTGGAAAACACAGCGTTTTTCATTGGAGCGGTCTCTGGGAAAAGCAGGGAGGAGGAGGAGGAGAAGGAGGAGGAGGACGAGGAGGAGGAGGAACGAGGCGGAGGAGGAGGACGACGACGAGCAAACGATAAGTGAAGGTTTTGTGATTTTTGTGGTCTGGGGGTGCTGGGGAGGAGGGCGAGATACATATATATATATATATATATATATATATATGTATATATATATATGTGTATATATATATACATACATATATATATATATATATTATATATAATATATATATACATATAAATATACATATGTGTATATATATATATATATACACCCCAAGAGGCCCCAAGAGGCCCCCACGAGGCGCCCAAACCGCCTCCAAGAGGCCCCTGAGACGCTCCCCACGACACCCCAACACATATACAAGAGGCCTCAGACTGACAACCCAGGCACGGTGGCGGGATGGGCCGAAGGCCACTAGGATCCGCCGCCCCCTGCTTGCAGGGGTGCACGGCGTGCTGGACGAGCTGTTAGGTTTTGGTTTTGGTTCTTTTTCCAAAAGAACTCCCCAGTGGGCTCCGGCAGAACCCGCCGGCCACCCGGAAGGGTGCTCAACGACCGGAAAAAATCCTCCAAAAACGGCCGTTTCGCTCGGGACATCCTCAAAAAATCGCGAAGATGGCCCAAGATGGCCTCCAAGTCCGCCCGAGATGGTCCAAGACGGCCTCCAAAACGGCCCAAGAGAGTCCAAGACGGCCCAAGACGGCCCAAGAGGCCCCCCAGAGGCCTCCCAGACGGCCCAAGAGGCCTCCAAGAGGTCCTCCAGGAGAGTCCGAAGAGGCCAAAATCATTGATTTTCCTTGGTTTTTGAAGGATTTTGGCATTTGCGCCTTTTCGGCTCTCCGACGGCTCAAGACGGCCCAAGAAGCCCCCAAGATCGCCCAAGAGGCCCCCAAGAGAGCCCCCTGATGGCCCAAGTGGCCTCCAAGATGGCCCCTAGAGGGCCCCAAGACGGCCCAAGAGGCCTCCAACACGCCCAAGATGGCCTCCAAGACGCCCAAGATGGCCTCCAAGACGGCCCTGGAGCGCCCCAAGAGGGTCCCCCGTTGGCCCAGAAAGGCCCCCAAAACGGCTCCCGACGGCGTCAGACGTGCCAGGAACCCACCAAGATGGCCGAAGTTGGCTCGAAGCTGGCCCAAAAGGGCCCAAGAGGCCCCCAAGAGGGCCTCCAGGAAGGCCAAAAGATGCCAAAATCACTGATTTTCCCAAGGTTTTTGATGGATTTGGGACATTTCCCTTCTTTCGGCCTTCCGACGGCCCGAGACGGCCCAAGAGCCCCCAAAGATCGCCGAAAGATCGCCCAAGAGGCCTCCAAGACGGCGATGATGACCATCAAGACGCCCACGTGTTCCCCGAAGGCTTTCCAAACCGATTCGGGGAACACATGGTCCGATGGCTTGGCAGGTCTGGCCTCAACGTTCGGCCACATAGGCGCTTCCACAAAGGCAGGGGGCGGCGGTGATTCGCCGTAGGCGTCTTCGATCCGCCGCCCCCTGCTTGCAGGGGTGCACGGCGTGCTGGATGAGCTTCAGGTTTTGGTTTTGGTTCTTTTTCCAAAAGAACTCCCCAGTGGGCTCCGGCAGAACCCGCCGGCCACCCGGAAAATCCCCAAACGTGCTCAACGACCGCAAAAAATCCTCCAAAAAACGGCCGTTTCGCTCGGGACATCCTCAAAAAATCGCGAAGATGGCCCAAGATGGCCTCCAAGTCCGCCCGAGATGGTCCAAGACGGCCTCCAAGACGGCCCAAGAGAGTCCAAGACGGCCCAAGACGGCCCAAGAGGCCCCCCAGAGGCCTCCCAGACGGCCCAAGAGGCCTCCAAGAGGTCCTCCAGGAGAGTCCGAAGAGGCCAAAATCATTGATTTTCCCTTGGTTTTTGAAGGATTTTGGCATTTGCGCCTTTTCGGCTCTCCGATGGCTCAAGACGGCCCAAGAAGCCCCCAAGATCGCCCAAGAGGCCCCCAAGAGAGCCCCCTGATGGCCCAAGTGGCCTCCAAGATGGCCCCTAGAGGGCCCCAAGACGGCCCAAGAGGCCTCCAACACGCCCAAGATGGCCTCCAAGACGCCCAAGATGGCCTCCAAGACGGCCCTGGAGCGCCCCAAGAGGGTCCCCCGTTGGCCCAGAAAGGCCCCCAAAACGGCTCCCGACGGCGTCAGACGTGCCAGGAACCCACCAAGATGGCCGAAGTTGGCTCGAAGCTGGCCCAAAAGGGCCCAAGAGGCCCCCAAGAGGGCCTCCAGGAAGGCCAAAAGATGCCAAAATCACTGATTTTCCCGAGGTTTTTGATGGATTTGGGCATTTCCCTTTTTTCGGCCTTCCGACGGCCCGAGACGGCCCAAGAGCCCCCAAAGATCGCCGAAAGATCGCCCAAGAGGCCTCCAAGACGGCGACGATGACCATCAAGACGCCCACGTGTTCCCCGAAGGCTTTCCAAACCGATTCGGGGAACACATGGTCCGATGGCTTGGCAGGTCTGGCCTCAACGTTCGGCCACATAGGCGCTTCCACAAAGGCAGGGGGCGGCGGTGATTCGCCGTAGGCGTCTTCGATCCGCCGCCCCCTGAGGTCTTGCCACAGGGGTGCACGGCGTGCTGGATGTTTCAGGTTTTGGTTTTGGTTCTTTGTCTAAAAAAACTCCCCAGTGGGCTTCGGCCCGTCCCGCCGGCCACCCGCAAGTTTCCGAAAATCCATCTGTCAATGCCTTTGTTGCCCCAACTTGGCCCAAGATGGCCTCCAAGACGGCCAAGATGGCCCAAGATGGCCTCCAAGATGCTTCCAAGACGGCCAAGATGGCCTCCAAGACGGGTAAGATGGCTCCAAGATGCACCCAAGACGGCCCAAGATGGCTCAAGATGGTCTAAGACGGCCCAAAAGGCCCGCAAAAGGCCTCCAAGACGGCCCAAGAGCCCTCCAAGACGCCCTCCAGGAAGGCCCGAATAGGTTAAAATCATTGATTTTCCCATAGGTTTTTGAAGGATTTTGGCATGTTCTTCTTTTCAGCTCTCCGACGGCCCAAGACGGCCCAAGAGGTCCCCAACATCGCCCCAACAGCACCCAAGAGGCCTCCAAGATGGCCCCATGACGGCCCAAGAGGCCCCCAAGAAGGCCCCAAGAGGGCCTCAAGACGGCCCAAGAGGCGTCCAAGACGCCCAAGATGGCCTCCAAGACGGCCAAGATGGCCCAAGATGGCCTCCAAGATGCCTCCAAGACGGCCAAGATGGCCTCCAAGACGGGTAAGATGGCTCCAAGATGCACCCAAGACGGTCCAAGATGGCCTCAAGATGGTCTAAGACGGCCCAAAAGGCCGGCAAAAGGCCTCCAAGACGGCCCAAGAGCCCTCCAAGACGCCCTCCAGGAAGGCCCGAATAGGTTAAAATCATTGAGTTTTCCTCAGGTTTTTGAAGGATTTTGGCATGTTCTTCTTTTCAGCTCTCCGACGGCCCCAGACGGCCCATGAGGTCCCCAACATCGCCCCAACAGCACCCAAGAGGCCTCCAAGATGGCCCCATGACGGCCCAAGAGGCCCCCAAGAAGGCCCCAAGAGGGCCTCAAGACGGCCCAAGAGGCCTCCAAGACGCCCAAGATGGCCTCCAAGACGGCCAAGATGGCCCAAGATGGCCTCCAAGATGCCTCCAAGACGGCCAAAATGGCCTCCAAGACGGGTAAGATGGCTCCAAGATGAACCCAAGACGGCCCAAGATGGCCTCAAGATGGTCTAAGACGGCCCAAAAGGCCCGCAAAAGGCCTCCAAGACGGCCCAAGAGCCCTCCAAGACGCCCTCCAGGAAGGCCCGAATAGGTTAAAATCATTGATTTTCCTTTGGTTTTTCAAGGATTTTGGCATGTTCTTCTTTTCAGCTCTCCGACGGCCCAAGACGGTCCAAGAGGTCCCAAACATCGCCCCAACAGCACCCAAGAGGCCTCCAAGATGGCCCCATGACGGCCCAAGAGGCCCCCAAGAAGGCCCCAAGAGGGCCTCAAGACGGCCCAAGAGGCGTCCAAGACGCCCAAGATGGCCTCCAAGACGGCACCCGAAGCGTGCCCCAAGAGGCCCAAGTAGGCCCAGAAAAGCCCCAAGACCGCCTGCCGACGGCGTCAGACGTGACAGGGAGCCCACCCAGACGGACGAACATGGCCCTAAGATGGCCCAAGACGGCCCGAGAGGCCTCCAAGAGGGCCCCCAGGAAGGCCCGAAAAGGCCAAAATCATAGATTTCCCATGGGTTTTTGAAGGATTGTGGCATTTGCGTTTTTTCTGCCTTCCGACGGCCCGAGACGGCCCAAGTGCCCCCAAAGA